AAAGATCACCACTGACAGGCAGTAAACCAACACAACCATCCACACGCCTCCAGGCAAGGTCCACAACTCCTGCCTGCCTCCTCCCGCCTCTCCCTGAACCTCTTATGCAGCATTTTAGCACTCTTCACGGTGAGAAGCCGCAAGTTGGAAACCAAAACCAGCTCTCGTATTAACAATGGCCGCAAAGACCTGGAGAGGTTCCACGCCTCGTGCGGGGAATGCTTTGAGCATTCGGACTGCGCCGCAGCCTTGCATTACATACTTCTCTGAAGCGATGCTACCCTTCACACCCACTTGCACCTGTCAGTAATATATCAAACGGATAATAAAAGAAACAGTATGGCTTTGGGGCTTGCGCATTCATGCATCGTATGATCCATGCTTCTACTTTACGCCTATGGATAAGCCCTCAAGCGTTTAGCTGGAGCAGGATAAAAACAGCGTATGAGAAAAGTGTTTGAGCTGCTGCCTCTAGTTGAAGTATTTTATTATCGGGCAAAAATAACTTGAGTAAACCCAACATTTCTGTTTTCAAATGGTGATTTCATTGAAGTTAAAAGGATAGCAAAACTAATTTGCGGGTTCAAATCATAAACACTGTGACTGACCACATATTTTGAATAGTTAAGTTTCAGACGCCACACCCTGGCCTGCTTTCTTCTAGCAGGCCTTTAAAATCAAGAAAGCATTTAAGTAGAGCCTGTCTGACAACCTGGAATAGGCAGCACATCATGTGCAGAGCTAAAGAAAGTCAAGAACAGCTGAGAAACAAGCGGAAATGGTTCACAAAGTCATTTCTCAGGCTTTGGTGAACCAAACCACATTAAGAATCATTATCGACAATTGGGGAAAATAGGGAACAACGTTATTTCAAAAGCACATTGATGATTATTCGTTCAGGAAGTCACAAAAGAACCCAAACCAACATCTACAGCACTGCAGAGCGTACCGTAATATTGACCAAAAGACCCTTTTCACTTTTGCCAAATTCTTGATGATCAACAAGACAATGTTCAGTGGATTGACAAGATAAAACTGGGACAATTTGGAAGCTCAGCAATCCAGACATCATATCTGTGGTTAGGCATGGTGATAGAAAAGAGATGGTCTGGTGACGTTTTGTTGCTTCCTGGTTTGTTAGAAGTGCTGGAGTCATAAACTCGGCTCTCAGAAATTCCTGCAGGAACATTAGTTTGGGATCGTGAGGTAAAGTGCACTCCGTGCACGACTGGGTATTAAGTTTAGGGAGTGAATACTTTTCGAAAAGACTTCAGGTTTGTTTTATACCTTTTTTTCCCTTAAATAAAATCAGGTTATCTTTGTCTGATATTAAAATTGGTTCGATCTGAAACATTTGAGTGTGACGAACAAAAAGGTGTTTTCAGAAGGGAGAAAATCTTTTTTTTTTATTCCACTATAGCTCTTGAAATTTTTCTATAACCAGACCTCCATGAAATATGTGCCACTCTTGATGTCCTATATCGCTTTTCTTCACCTCTTCTCCTCTGTGGCCTTCAGTTTAATCACATCATTCGCCTCAACATCATCATCATCATCCTCATAATCTGTGCCACCTATCCTGCCTTGCGGCCGTGACCCTTTCTTCACACCGCTGGGCATAAAGCTTATGGACAGCTTTACAGGAGAAGGCCCACTCTCTAACCTCCAGAAGCCAAACTGAATAACAGATGGGCTCAGCTTTGTGTTTCGCTTTTACTGCGCCCCTAAATCAATGCCTAACAAAGCATGAAGAGGAAGACGGGCATTGATTTCATCTACCAGTCCCCCCGAGTGGGTAAAGGAGTGGTCGGAGGGTAAAGGGTGAAGGGGTGGGGCTTATTTATTTTGACTTTCCTTCAATTTCCTGCATACGGAAACGTGGACATGAAGCGAGGCCAAACTGTAAAAATAGCTGCCAGCGGCGTTTTCTATGGCTCGGTATCACATTGCACTCTGCTTTGTAATAAACCGTTTCATCTTCTGTCAGTGGATCTGTCCTGTTTGTGTTTAGATACGCTGCCTGGGTGAAAATACAGTTCTGGTGAGCAGTTTATGTGCACTCTGGATAGGTCGTGTGATTTTGGGCTCCCAGCGATGCATTTGGACCATTCAAGCATCGACAAGCTTCTGGCATAAATTGAGCTGTAAATCTGACTTCTCCTCTTATCAGAGTTGTTGAAACTGTCTACGACTTTAAGCATAGTTAATTCATTTAGGTGATTTCTTAATGTTGAGCTGATATTCTGATGTGTGTTTGGGATTAAATTTGACCAACTTTTAAGAATCCAGCTGTTGATTTGAGATGCAGTTAAAAAGCAATGAGTACAACAAAACACATCCTCAGCATGCTACCATGCTACCATCTAGCTACCATGCTAGATAGTTCGAACTGCTCTCTTTGCTTTAGTCCTTATCTAGACATGAGTCAGTGTTAAATCTATATATAGTCTAGATTTACATCTAGATATTTTGTCTGTGTTTACACATTAGACCAAGCAGTTCGATCCTTAAGTTGCTGCAATCGTTTAAAAATGTATAAAGAAGACAAACACATTCTCGAAATAATGCATAGAGGTTATGCAGCACAAACCAACACCTAACTGATTGGTTGTTATAATATTACAGTAATAAAATTAATGTGTAAAAATATAGGATTTTATATATAACATTTAGTGCTAAGAATCAAGAAAATAGTGGTAATGGTAGCATATTTACATATTGTGCTGATAAAAAGCAACAAATCTAAAGCATTGAAGATGTGAGCTCTGCAACAAGGCGCTTTCTACTCAACACCTGAGCTGTAGTCTAAATGTTAGCTTGTCTGTCTTGTAATTTCCAAGTAGAATTACTACATTGTTATACAGTGGCTGCACAGTTGAATCTTTGAAGCTAAGTTTGTTATCACACCTTGGTAACACAAAGATGACTCGGCGCTGAGAACCTGTTGAGGAATGGAGTTTAATTGCTATTAGTTAAAAACAGTGAGGCAATGGTACAAGGATGACAGCAAACAAAAATGAAACGACAGAAATAGATGAAATGTTCTGGATTTACTGGTTAAGAAGGCCTCAAAGACATCTCTGCGAAACAATGTCCTGATTAGGTACAAGGTAATCATTATTTAGAATTTTTTTTTTTTTAAATGTATCATTAAGACCAAACATCTCAACCCTTTGTCTCCTCTAACAGCAAATCCTTCCCCAGAGTGATTTTGTCCTGTTTGTACTGGTGGACTTGGACCTTGGTTCTTCCTGGATTGAGAGATACTTAGATGTGATTTGATGATCCGACTGCATAGTGATTCCAAACATACAACCAAGCTGAGCCGAGCAGCCTGGTTTCACAGCTATCCTATTAAAAAAATATGGGATTTGCTTAAAAGCTTGGCCAATGGCTGGAAACTAAATAATTCAAATGGTCAAAAATCTGGCCAGCGTTGCTGGAAAAAGCTTTCTGATGGCTGCCAAAAGTGTTACGTCTTTGCCATTTATTACGGGTAATTTTCTCCAAAATATCGGTTTGGTTTTATGTACATTTTCATCGGTAGGTTTATTTTCATATTGAGTGGGCTAAAGAAAATCCCAAATGAATTACAAGGTTAAGAAAGCCACGTATTAATTTAATATTCACAGACATAATGCATTTAGACTTCTGAACAATGCTGGATTCAGGGCCCACAACCGTTTCACATTTAACTGTAAGCTTCTTACATTTAAATCCCTCAACAAGACTACAAGGCTGAAGCAATAATGTCCGCCTGCGACTGTGCTGCACTTGCTAATCCATAAGACAGTTGCTGAGCCGTTTACAGTGAGACTAAATGAGACATTTCTTTTCCACCCCGTCCGTGTTTACATGTAAAATAGGCAGCTTGCAAATAATTAACTTGAGCCACTTAGTTAACATTAGACTCTGGCTTCCTATGACTTCACGCACTACTATCCTTTATGTAAACCTTATTGCGGCTATCCTGTAAAGCTCAATTAGGCAGCAGTTTGACAGTCAGTGAAAAGCATTGCTGATATGTGTCCATTATGCCTCATAAGGCTGGTGTTTGCGGGGTTGTCTGCGTATTGAGCTGCCTTCAACCAGGAGCTGATTTAGAGTCCCTCGGCCGGCCTCTTTGCTCTCTGCGCCTGTCGGGTTAGCTGTATTAAGTGGCACTGCATTAGAGCAGTAGATTGTTGTTTTCCTCCACTGTTTCTCTCCTCCTGATCACCACAGAGCTTCTGCGGAGCAAAGGTCTCATAAACATTTATGTGCGGGCTGTGAGCTCCTGTCTTAGGCCATGAGTCCACAGGGCAGCAGCCTGTAGTGCCACTTTATGCCTCTTAAGAGACCAAACGTGTCTGATGGTGTGTATGTAGACATAAAGTTATATTTCATCCTTACTTATGTTTTGAATAATTCAATCACCGCTCTGCACGTCTCCTGCTTACTTGTGGAGTTAGTTATTTTGAGTTTTTTTTGTTTTTTTCTTTTGTGGTTTATCATATGTTTTCACGCTGGGAGACTTATCATATGTAAATAATTTTTGCTTTGAGCGCTGCCACTTTGTTTTATCACTCCCTCTAAGCAGAGATGGAAAGCTCGGGGAGCCTTCTTAGAAACAAAATGGAAAGACAACAAGGCCGTCTCTGAAGCTCAAAGTTTTCAGCACTACAAAGTATTTTAAGGAATATTTTAATGTAGTCGTGATGAATTAGCCTTCCCCAAAACTTTCCTTCAGAATTTCTTTTAAATCTTAAACTTACATGATCCAATCATAGGTTTGTGGCAGGCCATTAACCTGCCAACACCAATTTTAGCTCATTTATATTTCTCTTTGAAAGTTATAATACATAAAAAGATACAGGATGGAGCAGCAAAATAATTTTTTTTCTACTCTTACTGATATTCTGCATCTCTGAAATGCAACAGACACTATTAAATGAAATGCATGAGCAGATGCTGACCTCCTCCATCTCCTGACTTAACTTGTGTAATTTCTTTCCCTGCAGGACCCTGGATATGCAACCTTCCTGTTCGATCAGCTCCAAACACCTGGGAGCCATGAACCTGACTGCTGCCAGGTGTGCTCCACGCCTCTTCACCAGCTGAGGAAGGAGGCCTTGCAGGCACTCCACTCTCCTGTTCTCGCCTTCGGCTCAGACATGGCAGCGTTGCCCACCACGTCCGCTCAGCAACAGCCTTCCAGAATCGCTGGTTCGTCCGCAAGTGTCCATGCCAAGCAGTTAGTGAAAGGCCAGTCTACGAACCGCTCTATCCTGCCTTTGGGGGAGCGGCACAAAGTTCCAGGCTGGGCCCAGAGCCCTTCTGCCTCTTCGGGGTCTAAGACCAGTGTGCAGGTGACGGTGGCAGGAGGGCAGCTTACTGGATCTTTGAGCACCGTCACCATCCAGGCACAGCAGTACCTCGATGGGAAGTGGAGCATCTCTACAGTCAATAACTTTCTGCCTCAGCCTAAGCAGGTATGTCTGTACAATATGGAAATTGCACAATCTATTTGCACAATTCATCTACAGATGCTGTTGTCTGATAAAAGAAACATCTCTGTAATGTTCCCCCCTTTTAATTATTTGCATACATTTGCACACATTTTTACACCTCTTAAAATTCTAGTTTTCAAACCAACTGTAAATCAGTGTTACGTTACTTATGGCAAAAGCATAATGAATTTGAAGTGGGAAAAGCTGATTTAATACCTTGAAATAGTGTGTATCTACTTTGTCGTTTTGAAAATTTGGACCCAAACAAAATGTATTAATTTCTGTAATAATATTGTGAAGTGGAAGGCAAATGATAAGTGGTTTCAACCGTTTTCTGTAATTGATTCCTTTTCCCTATAAATGAACGACATCCTCAGCATGATGCAGCCAACACCGTGATTCCTTGTGTGGATGTGCCAGTAGTGTTTTGTAGTTTGATGCACTAAATATATTTACTGGCATTAGAGTAAAGGGTGCTGAACGCAATTTCACCACACTTTCAAATTTTCATTTGTGGTAAAAAGTCAAAACCATGTATCATTATGCTTCCACTTCAGTATTCATTACTTTGCATTACAGCAAATTCCAATAAAGTACACTGGAATTTGTGTTTGTCACCTGACAAAATAATAATAATAATAATAATAATAATAATAATAATAATAATAATAATAATAAACATATTTATACATGTTTAAGAAGTGTACTTTTGAACCTGAAACTACTTTTCTAAGGTAGTTTAGCTTAAACATCTAATATTTGAACAATATCACATGCAAGAAAAACTAAGTGATTTACATATTCTGTAATGTGAACCACAAAAATGCCACCATTACCGTGTACGCTTACGGATTATAAACATCACCCTGCAGCTCTCATCACATCAACCGTCACAAATGTGAGGAAATGAAGCCTTGAAGAGAGCTGTTGACTCAAAGCTCTACAGGAGTGCTGACCTCTTATTGCCTGGTGTTCTGACTGATCTAAGGTCAGAGGTCATCCCAGCAGTATTCTGCTGACCTCATCCTCAAGGGTATATTTAAATAACCCAGGCCATAACTCTTTATGTCTCCTTTGGTTTATTAGATGTGTGACTGGCGTGGATTCTTTTCTTTTTTTGACTTGCTGTCATGATTAAAGGCTGACGCTTTTCAATGATTTAAACTGTTTCATTAGAGGATGTGATCTCCAGCATCTCAGAGCTTATCTCTGCCTGCTGATGGGAAGGCGCTTTGCTTTACTGCAGAGTTACTTCCTGCAAAGACGGTGACATCTGTTGTCAGACCTAACTGAGAGACAAATGTGACATTCTGCAGCTGCCAGGCTCTACTCAGATTAAAACAACATATGTTAATGATATCTCATGCTGTAGCACCTAAGAAATTAGCAAACAGTGACTTGCAAATGTGAGCGTTTGTCACAATACAAGCACAAACAGTGAATTTGATCTGAATTTCTGTGCTAATAGACCAACACAAAGTAGAGCATATTGAAGAAAAAGAGCTTCTTTTTTCCTTTTTTTTTCTTTTTACAAATATAAACCTGAAGTATTGCATGCTTTCATTTTCGAACCTTTTCACTCTCACACCCTTAAAAAATCACTATAAAAGCAGTTGCCTTCGGAGGTCAGATAGCTATTACACCCTGGCTGTGTTTAATTTAATCTCAGTATAAATATAGCTGTTCTGCAAAGGCCTCAGAGGTTTCTTAGAGAACATTATTCGACAAACAGGCATCATAAAGACCAAGAAAGTGCAGACAGGTCAGGGATACAGCTGTAGAGAGAATTTACTAGCAGAGGTGAGCTGCAAAATAAAGTCCAAGGAAGGTTTAAACATTTCACCCGGTACTGTTTAGTCCTTTATACGAAAAAAGAAGAAGAATGGCAACATGCGGGGCAAGGGGAGCATTGATCAGAGAAACAGCTCAGAGGCCCATGAGAGAGATCAACAACTCAGGCAGGAGAATTGGTTAGCAGAGCAAACATTAGTTGTGCACCCAAGAACTCTGACCTTTGTTGGGAAGTGTCAAGAAAAAGACATTATTCATTAATTCATGACTTGGAAAAAAAAAAAGAAAAGATGTTCGGATATGTCTTCTATTCAATCTGAGTGAGCTGGACATATTTACACACCTCAAACACCTTGCAGCTCTAATTGCAGGTAAAGTGTGAAGAGGGTTCAAAAACGTGTTGACTCAACGTCCAGGTATTTATTTGTCTATATATATAAAAAGGAATCAGAAAACCATGTTTAATTTTCCTTCCACCTCCATCCTGTTACATAAGATACTAAATAAATAAAATGAAGTTTTTGATTGTACAGTGACAAAAAGCACAAAGAATTTCAGTGGGTGTGAATACTTTTGTGAGACACTGAACTTGTAAATCTCCCCGGCTTTGTTTTTTTTTATTTTTTAGTATAAATAAATGAAGTCTCCGGGTATTCGTTTCTTCCTCATGCTTGAAAAGCCAAAGACAGATTTTCTTTTCCCACCAGTAATGTCAACAAGTGCCTGTAGAGATGGTTTATGGGGGACCATCAAAAGCTTTTAGCTGCTCGTATGCAGCCTGGCTTAAACCAAATGCCCTGGCAAAGACAGGAGAGACTGACTCGTGTTCTCCATCTTTGTGTCTAAAAGCAATTAGCGGCTCTCGAAGCCTGGGTGAGTTATTCAAAGCCCGCAGCCGAGGCTGAGGCCGTCCTCGCTCTGGGAGAAATATCCCCTCAGGACATCAAGCTACAAACGCAGCGGTTTCTTTCATTAAAACCAGATCCTTCAGGATGACAAAAGCCCACACACTCTCTTGAGAACTGGAAGTTACACAGTGCTGAAAGGCACAAGATTCCCACTCGTGTTCCCAGTACAGAGAGTTTGCTGCGCCGTTCTGGCAGGAGGAGCAAACATATACTGTGTGTGTTTTATGCAGATATTCTTCAGGGAATGTCAAACGCGGTTTCTGGAGTTCACTACACAGCACCCAGAATCTCTAATGTGGGTTTTGTTTAGCATGTTTGCTGCGTCTATTGGAATAAAACAGAAGGGGATCTTTAATAATGGGTGGTTTAGTCATCAGACTTAAAGAATTTCCTGTCTTAAATCTCAGCTGGAGTTTGGATCTTCTCTTCCAGGCTGCATAAACTTTCCCTTGGTTGTCTAAAGTTGATTTGCCCTCTCGGTGTTCATGTTCTTAGTTGTCTGTCTTTTTGTGTTGATCCTTTGAGTTGAGTGACTGCCTGTCCTGAGTGAACCACACATCTCACCTTTCATTGTCTAAGATGAGCTTCAGCCCTCACAACCCTGAGAAGGACAGAGGATGTATGCAGCCTACATGGAAGGACACGAAGTTTACTCCCCTAACTACTGGTTTTGGTTAAAGTTTGTTCAGTTTTTTACCTGTCCATGTCAATGAATGGAAATTACAGTGGATCCCTTGTATTCACAGAGTTTAGGGATCACAACTGCCTGGAAAAGCAAACATCTGCGAATACTTAAGAAACTCTAAAAATGATTGTAACAGCCTATTTTAATAATTTCAAACAGCAAATATGCCTTAGGATGCATTAATACGCACAACGGAAACCATCCTAGCATTAACATCCACATTCTTCTTTATCTCAACAATTTGGAGTTCAGTCAATCAGGACCAAGAAAAAAGAAGGGCACTCCTTGATTGGCTGCTTTTTCAAATGACAGCCAATAGCAGAAGTAACATTTCGCCCAGGTATTTCAGTTTCCTAAGTATTTTTTAGATATGATCTGTGAAAAAAAATCCACAGATAAAAGCATTTTCCCCAAATGATTTGGAGTTACGTTCCACAGACGAGTCAGCAGATAGGTGGGGTCCATTGTATTTAAATTAACTACAAACAGTAATAAAATATATTTGTTTCACATACCTCATAAACACATTAGAAAAAAATATATACATTATTTATTAATTATGTTATAGCCATGTTATGGGACTTGTGACAGACATTCACTGACTCTCTTACCAAGGAGGGTAAGTCAGAAAATGTCCTTTCAATGAAGCTGGCTGTTGTGAAAATGCCATAACCAAACAGCAATGAAAAGCTGAGTTTAGAGAAAAAAGGACATTGTCAAAAGGGAGATGAAATGCTGGACCCAATAGTACTGACAAGTTGAAAGGAGACATTTAATCAACCCGTGTTTTCCTGAAACCTCTTTACTCGCACAGATTAGTGCAATAATTGGTGCAGCACGAAGCCTGGGTTTGGTGTTGAGCGAATATACTGTACAGTACATGACCATACTTTACAGCAGGCTGGCAGTTCATTGTTATTCTTTTTTTACTGATCTCATTTAAAATTCACATGTTATGTTACACTGAATGTAAGCTATAACCATCAAAGCTAACAGACATACATGTTTGAAATGTATGATTGTGTTTGTAAGGGATCTAAATCACAGCTTTCACTGTTGGAAACAGTGAAATAAATACATCCTCCATGCTGTTTCAATTTCCTGAGCTGTGCATGTAGAACTAGGTGTGATTTTTATTCTCGGGGCTCTCTTTGCCAAGCCAGAACAATTTGACATTTCAAAAAGTTATCTTGCTCTAGCTTCGGTATGACAAGAGCTTTTAGCGGCTCCCGCAATTTGAGTGGATTACAATATGAGCAGCGCTGTTCAGACCGAATCAAATCAACATTTTTCATTCTTTGCTTTAAAATTTCCAAAACCGCATGCAGACTAATCTACTTGCACTCAACTTTTTGAGGATTTCCGCTCTTCACCACAGTGGCTGGCTGCCTCCGCAGCCAGCTCCACTGCCACCAATTTTCTAGCCAGCAGACGATCTTGGCTGCTGCTGCCTTGCTGCAGCTGTGCTCGAATGGCAAAGAGCCACAGACGGCAGTGGTGACAAGAGAAGGAAGGAAGAAGGTTGAAAATTCCACTTTTCTTTCTTTGCTACTTGGGATGTGGTTGAATATTTGTATTTGGTATTTTCTGTCAAGATGGCCTGAACAGTGTTATTTCCTCACCCAGAAGGAAACCCGTATCATTTAGCAGTCAATTCTCAACTAAGCTGGACTTTGTTGGTTATGGAGGCCTACAGAGAACAACAGCAAGATCAACACAAAGCCTATTTCACCCCAGCTGTAATCGTCTATTGACTGCAGGGAGTCAAAGGTCACAGTGGACTCCTGGTGGACAGAAGGGAAGATGGTCCGTTGATTGAATGCTGACCTGCAATGCTCACTACTGGACTCCAGAGCACCCGCTCAACCAACCCTTATAAATTTTTGTCATTTCTTCACTTTTCCTATTATGTTTAAAATTTCATTGCTTTCTCTTTTCTCCTTTCTCTGCTTTATCTGTTTTATCCCATTGAAAGAACCAAGGATAAAGGACTGGGGGTGAGAGGGTGGGAGGCCAGCTCATTAGTGACTTTTGGTGCAGACAGCCGAGCGCACATGGCTCCACTGACACAGCCTAATTACCTGACCGGGGGATAGATTCTTCTCCTCAGCCATAATCAGGGCCATGCCCGGTCCAAGGCTGCAGGGAGCGGCTTGGGTGTGCAGCTTAAGTCTCCTGCATTTATACCAAAGGGACATTTCTGCTATAGGCGCTGGGCCCAAGCTCAAATGTGTCTGTGTGTGTGTGTGTGTGTGTGTGTGTGTGTGTGTGTGTTGAGTCTGCATTTTGTCCATTTTGAGCCTGCACCACAGCTCCACCTGTGCCCGGCTGTCTGTGTGTCCTCCTCAAATTTGCTGCCACTTGATTTAAAAACAGACCCTCCAACGACTCAATCAGCAGCAGATGTGATGAGCTGCACACCAGCTTCCTGTACGGCTGCGTGTGAAGTGCTCTAGTCTTTCATGCCAGAGTGTAATGGGTCCACTTCGCTGGTATGCGCTGAATTCCTAACTTGTCACCGACTCCAGCTTTGGAGTGAGGACTTTCTGCCACATATTTAGTGTTTCTGCATAATGCCTGAAGTTATAATGTCACACATTGAGCCTTATCCAACTTATCCTCCATCATTATGTCTCAAGGCAGCAAAACTTGATTATTTTTATTAAATAAGGGTGCTATTTAGAACTTTACCAAGCTCAAAAGATCACCGTTTGACAACTGCTCCAGGATAACACAACACTGCAAGCAGCAAGAGTCAAGTTTCTCATTTAGACATTAGAACGTAAGTCTGACAAGCAGTTTTGGCATTCAACTGGTGCAGCTGTCAGTCAGTAATGATAAATAACTTTATAATAAGTGTTTTGGAGGAAGTTATTTTTGGTGCCAAGGAGGAATCCGGTCCAAACTGCGACGTGGTCAATCTGAGTACATCATTGGTTAATTCAAAGCATGTTGCTGAGCACCTGGTGTTCAAGTGTTACAAATAATTAAAGGAGCAACAAAAATATCAATAATTGTAGTGTTTTGTTAGTAGCATTGCTGAATAAAATATGATCTCTGGTGGGAATGAACTTGTTGTAGTTATGTTGGCTCCAGCTGAGGAGTACAACTGGTTCATGCTTCAGAGATGGACCAAAAAACTGACTTCTAGACATAAAATAGGTCTATTTACTACTAAGTAGTCAATTGACCGTTGAAAAGCCTTGTCTTTCTTTTCAATCTATGAATTTGCTACAACTGATCTTTTTAAAACTCTGACCTAATCTTGCTTTAATCAGGGGTCCGGGCTATTTATCTCAGTAACTCACCAAAATACTGACACTAAGTACATGGGTGTGATATAGTTTGTTTACAGCTACAAAAGTATGGAAGAAGGTTGATATTAAAATGGAGTATGAATCAATGAAAGGTGGAATTGACCCGATGAAATACAGCAAAACAAGTTTGCATCTTTTTTTCTGCTGCAGTCAACATCAGGTCATATTCTTGCCAGCCCAAAATTGACTAAATATTAAATTTCAACTTTAAAAAAAAAAAATTGTTAAGCTTGTTTGATCACCCTGAACCTACATCGCGTGCTGTAAATGTTTCTTGCTTCAGGATTTTTGAGTCAGATGCGTAGCTGCTGCATACACGGCTGTGTTTCATAACAGCGAGTGAAATATAGTTTCAGCAAGAACTGACACTGCTCAAGGGCTGAATCAGGTGCGGCACACCTCGGTTTATTCCTGTTCTGTGGCCTGCTTCCTCAACAGGGCGCGACTTGTACAGTATGCACAGCTGACACACCTCCTAGTTGTTTAAGCTATCCACAAACCACAGGCAATTTCTTTACCCTCTTTAAAACTCGCTCTCAGACATTTTGACTCAACCTGCTTGAGTGCCAAATTAGCCATGGACGTATAGATATAATCGGGGGTGCAGAGTGAGCTAAATCACTAGTGATTTAATTGCTAATTAAATGCGGGTTATTGCTTAATTACAGTATGTTACATCCAGAGCAACCTTGTGAGCGGTGCCAGAATCAATGAATGGTGCAGCATCCCTGTTGTTCTGTGGGGAGCTCTCTGCTGTGGATACTGCTGACTGCCACTAACCCGTACAGTTTGCAGCAGCTGCCCATCCATCTGTGGCAAAGGAGGGCAGAGGGGGCAGCAAATGGAGTGGAATGGAGGTGAACAGGACCGGCATGAGCTTGGGTTGTGGTCTTATCTCTGTATCCGTGTGTTAACAGGCCCATAGTTTGATGGGGGATGCAGAAAGTGGTGTCCCAGCCTCCGAGGCGCCCGTCACCACCATGACAAACACCACCAGCAGCTGCAGCAGCACCACCACCTCGCTGACGACCTGCAGACTGAAAGGCCCCAACCACCCAGGAATCCCAGTTCCCATAACCAGTGCATCCGCCTCTTCTTCCTCATCGGCAGCAACCTCCTTCTTCATCAGGTGAGCGCCTCGGCAAAACCGCTGTGAAACTTTGGACCGATGTGATTGTGTTGTTTCGCCATACAACAGTTTTGTTGGCACAAAATGTGTTTTACAGACGCGTTCAGACTTCAGTTTGTGCTCCAAACGGAAAACCGAGACGGTTTGCACAGACTTGCCTTTTTCTGCCCACTGAAGATGACGGTTCAGGTTGCTAGCCTTAGTGTAGGGCACCTATTCAGTAGAAATGTTGTTCCTACCATGCTTCACTTGTATTATTCTGTGGGATGCGCATCATGCAGCTAAATGAACCTTTAGTGACAGGCACCAGTGAATTCGAATAGATAACAGAGTTACATAAGTTTATAGAAAGAGCGAGTGTGTCACGAAGGGAGCTTAGAGTAAAGCTTAATATTGTTCTGAGGTATTTTATTACGTTTAGTCATTTTTTTTTGTTGTTTACGCAGACAGCTAAGGATCAGAACCACCAGTTCAGGCACTTAGTTCAGCTTAACCATTTGTGTTTTGGAGCTCGGAAATAGTTTCTGTCCTGTTTTTCTCTGGAAAATGGAAAAAGAATACGGAGCACTTTCCTTCCATCCATCCGTCCTCTTTGTGGTGGACTATCGTTAATAGTTTTCATGTGGTGGGCATTTATCTTATCGTTTATTGTGTTATATTTCTGGTCATGATAAGAATTTTGATCCATCAATTTCATTATAAATTCCTATCAGTGAATGAAACTGTCTTTTTTTTTTGTCTATCTGGATTGTTCATTTTATTATTTTCTTTGTTTGTTCAACGACATAAAGACATATTAAATGCAGTCATTTTGTGCAGGTAGCGATACAAAACACGCTGAAGAAGCATATTACAAATGGGCAGCGTTTGTGTGGCTATGACTGCTGAGCCGTTCAGTCACAGTTGCCTAAAAAAGAAGTTATAAATAGTTTCACAATACCACAAAGTATGATAAAACTTTAAGTCCATATTGCCCTCCCCAAGTTTTGGCAGTCCACTCAGTGCATACATCGCCTGCCTCTTCTCTCTAAAGAGAGCTATAGTGTGATGAATATTGATGAAGCTGGCTTGAGAGCGTTGTGTATTGAAACCCTGCTCCACAGGGGGCGTCAGGAAGCAGCGAGGGGACCTGTGGTGTGTGACAGGAAGCCCACAGGGGATCAGTTTGGAGCAAAGCGTCTCTCTGAGGTGTCCAAATGGGCTTTATCTTCCCAGTTTTCACAGCGCCAGAGTATATCAGTGCAACCATAAGCGCTTTTCTTTCACTGAGGGGGACAACCCAGATCCATAACTCAACATGCATCCTCCTACTTGCAGTGGATGTAATCAGGAGCTGCAGGGTTGATTTCTGATCTTGATTTATTAAATCTCATGTTTTCTTTGGACGTGAGCTCACAGCTCGCCGTCTAGTCCGAAAGCGTGTTTTTTTTCCCTAGTAGCTGGTGCTGATCGGACAGAGGCGTCCACCTTTCATCTCGTCCCAAAGAAAATCTGCTGCCAGCAGCTCCGTGTTTGACTTGGCCCGCAAAAATACAATCATCGGGGTCAGACTTAAACAACATCACAGTCTGCAGATAAAGAAAAAGGTAGAAGAGATGTTTTTCGCTTGATTTGAAGCACTCTCGCTTCCTGACCCTCTGCAGCTGTTCTCTCTCTGTAATTGCTGATTGAAACGTAAGGCCCAAAAAGCGAAAAACAAACGCATCAATCAACAGTGTTTTTCTTCGTCTCTACCCCATTTTGAAGGAGCAAAATTGAATAAAATAATTGTCCATCATATTTTCGGGTTGATTGAAAATTTATATGCGATTAGTATTCGTCTTTTGCTCTCCGAAGATTCAATTAGTGGCATGCGTGTGCAAATGCTGAAAGCCCAGCATATAGGAGGAGAATAAGCAAAGAGCAGTTTGTACCCCAGCGGAGTACAGACGCCTCTTTAGACTCTTGTCTGACATTTAGCAACACCGTCTCTTCTCAGAAATGTAATTTCAATTAGATCTCAATTAGTCTGAGCCTACCTGCTCCGGCTTAACCTCTGCTGAGAGACAGAAATATGAGCCTTGTCAACGTAAGGTGCAACATTTCAATGAGTTTTCTTTCAAAATTACCTCATTTTAAATGCACCTAATTTGTTTCATTTAAGATTTCCTCTGAGTAGAAAAACATTTTGAGAAACAAAATGTGCAAAAACAGCAAGAGATCAGATTCATGTTGTGAAGCGTGATTGTTTACCTCCAGTTGATCATTTCTGCTTCTGGGTGACTTGATTAGACAAATTACTTAATTATTTTAAAATTGATTCTTTAATCAATGGTGATGTTTTCCAGACTTATCAATTTAATGTTTGGGTAAAGTTGTAAATATGGTGCCTTTCCACATTTTCCACATTTTGTTCCATTGCAACCACAACCTTCAGTGTATTTTATTGATATTTTATGTGACAGATAAATACTAAGAGAAAAAAATGTGAAGTAGAGGGAAATTGATGGTTTACAAAGTATTTTACAAAAAAAAAAACAATTTGAAAGTGTGGCATGAATTTGCATTCAGTCCCTGTGAGGAAATATATTTCTGCAATCACAGCTCTTTTGGAGTGAAGGCAACTCCACAGCATGATGTTGCCACCACTTAGTAGAAATGTCACAATACTAAAATGTTAAACTCAATTCTGATTCGAAAAGAATATCCGACTCGTGTTTCAACAGGAGTCTTTCTGATAAACATCAGAAAAATATAAACAATTGCAGCATGACAAGTTTTTTATTTCATTAATTAGGCCAAATTAGTTGGCTTTTCTGATGTTTATCTATTTTTAAAATCGAAGTTCTGTGCTTCGGTTTAGCAAGACAGCAGACATTTAAAGTGCTAATATCTGTTATTGAAATATGTAGCTCTGATCTTCTTGCAATTCTCCAGTAAAGTGCTGATCATAGCAAAAGGTATAAGCTAACAAGCAAACCCTGACCTGTCTGCTGTGCTCCTCTGTCTTCATGCTTCATGCATTAAGTGAATATTTTACTATTTTTTTTGTAATAATTGCCACTCCTCTCCTTTGTCTTCCTTTTATTCATAAATGCAGAAAATATACTCAGAAGCGAGGATTACCTCTGGGTCAATAATGGCCAGTTGGCAATTATTCTAACTATAAAGTCGCAGGGAGATGGGATGAGTCCGGGGTCGAGCTCTGACTGGGTGGAGCGTGTGTCCGCATCTCATTGTGTGTGTTACAGAGGTGGGGAGGGGGTAATGAATTTAGAGCCGGCGTTCGGCTGAGTTGCACGTTAGCCACTGATTGCCTTGTGACGGAGCATATGATTAGTGTATTGACACAGTGTTGTGTAATGAAAACAGGGGGGGCTCTCAGCAGGGGCGAGATGGTGGAGCTAACTGCTGCTTCGCAGGTTCCTCCACCCACATCGCTGTCCCATCAACACCTGCTGATTGTGATGCTGTGTTTGCTACAAAAGCTGGGCTCGTGGGATTTTTGGGTGCACGGCGCCTCTGGGGGTTCCTCTGCTCAATTTGCAGCCCCGTTAGATCAGCAGGCTCACATCTACACAGCAGGATTAGACCGTTTTCGTGGTTTATTGATACTCCCTTGTTTATGGGTTTTTGGAGGACGTGGTGAGTCCATTTATCACTTTGTTTCCTTGCCATGGTCCAACCCTAGGGATGGCTGATTTACTTACTCTGATGACATAAAGAGGTAAAGAATAAAATGACTCAGAGGGCCACTGAGATTAAGGTGGCACACTAAAGGCAGGTGGGCTGCTGCAGACGCAGGGCGAACAGCTGTTTGCTGGAATGCAACCCTGGGGGGGCCGGGGGAGTGTAGCGTCAGGAGGAAGTGGTTTTATGGTCACCCATCGCTGTTTTGCAGCTGCTGCCCAGGTGAGTGTTTGTGTAGTAATGACTGTGATTGCGCAGGAATCCTCCTGTAATTATGGCAGCAGGTCCATTTAGCCTTGCACACACAAGACACTGCCTTTGTGTCAGCGACACACTCTGCCCTTCATCCCCCAGGCTGCTTGGAGTAACCATAGAAACATGTGATTAGCTCGTGGGAGTAAAATGTGACTAATTTTTCTTTCAAAAGTGGAGTGGGGAATTAGGAAGTTGCAATAGCCCACTCACGTCCAGTGAACTGTAATTTTGTCGGGGTGGGGGGGGCGGCGCATCTTTTCAATGAGTCCCACACGTTGGAAAGTGGAGGCACTGCAGGGTCACAAGTGCCTGAAAAACACATGTTGGATTACTTACTAAAGTCTATTGTCTATTCATGTGAGCTTAGGAGTTGGAAATGAAGTCAACAGAGTTCATCCTGTTTGTTTTTAAAGGGGGCAATGATGCAAACACAATGTGCATCAATCCATCTATCCACCCATTGTCTTCCGCTTATCTGAGGTTGGATCGTGGCAGTAACGGCACCCCAGTGACACTCTCCGAGACGATGTCGGGCCAGAAGGAATATGTAGGACCCAACCTGCAGGGAGCAGAATGCCCACCTTATAATGGCAGCCTGACCTCAGAGAAAGGTCAGACTGCAACAAACAGAGGAGATGTCGGCATCCTAATGCCGGCGTTGGAGCGACAAGCTTCTCATAACGAGGCAGTGGCTACTTAAATATGTGGCATTTCGGAGAAATTGTAGTCGGCAATTTTATAAGAGCAATGGATTCAACACTTTTGAATGATAAATAAAATTTTTGGTGAACTGAGTGACGCTGTGAGATCTCTTGTGCAGCCAGCTGCGCATTAACCAACGAGGCCAGTTCCTGCAAATGAGCACAGGAAACAGGCGTAATGTGAAATAGCGGTTTTGTGAAATACACCAATTTTGATACGACTGAAAAATCACTTCATCCTAATGCAAAAGCATTTTGTCCAAAAAACACGGGTTTTTCGTACTGGCGTGCTTCCATTAACTGTGTTTATTTTTGTAATTTCAATTTGAGCAATTTTATGATCAATGGAAACACAGCCATGGTTGTGCATGGTGG